AATTATATGTATTGTCATCAAAATTTCTACTCCGTTAATTGATTTTATCTGTTGTAAGACCGATCGAATTTACAAGGTAATTGAACAGTTCTGTTTTATATACATTAAAATGGTAAACATTTGTAACTTAATGACATATGATCCATTTCAGTTATTGACTTTAAAATAATAAATGTATATGGTAAATGTAAGTCGAGCAACAAGTAAGTTAAACTTACCACTATTTAATTATTAAGAAGCCTAGACTAGTGAAAACGGACCATGATTAATGCATTTCTGATGATAACTTAGAAGTTGATACTGAAAATGAAATATAGGGAAAATCCCCATTTTCATGTTTGATGAAAAGAAACTAATCGAGCGAAGAAATTTCTTTTGAATTAGTTTTTCATCATAGCTCTACATTAATATATATATGATTTGCAACAATGAAATAGCACTCACCGAGTAGTTACTTTACGCAATAATTATATAATACATTTATTATAAAATAATATTGAGTAATTAGAAGGAAGAGGAATATAATTAAAAGATTTAACAGTCGCTACGTTGCGCAACATATAAAAAGAAAGAACTAGCATAATATTTTGATGGAAGGTCAGTATTATAGCAGTTATGTAAGAATCAAGGGACGAATATTGAGAATATGTAAAATACAAAAGTTGAAGAAATTAATAAGTAGTTTAAATATTTTTGAAGGAAGGGATTTCATCAAAGTTTAGCCACAATCTAATTCCCATACCGATGGACAAAATAGCGAGAGTGATTGTACAAACTTTTTTTGGATGCAAAGACTAGGTTTGTGAACATGGATTCCGACTGCTTCAGCAATGTGCAAAAGACGGACTCGTAAACTATGTGGTAAATTTGATGGAATATGGTAGATCACCTTAAAAGCTTTATACAAGTCAACTTGATGACCTGTGTTCCACCAAGCGGGAATGAAACTCTTAATCACTCTTACCTGTCCTTCGCTCAACCAAGATGGATAGTGTTCTGCTATGCGATAATGGACATACCGAATGGAACGCCCTATATAACTGGCTCCACAGGAGCAGTTGAATTGGTAAATACACATGGATGTGGCGAATTCAGGCAGTCTGTTTTTATTAACGGTTCTTATTAGAGGGTGGTTATAGGAAACGGCATTCATCCTGGCCTCATTAAACATTTGCTGTGCAGCCCTTCTTAACCTTTGAGTCACAATTTTCTCGATAACACCATTTAGGAATTGTAACTTTAAGAACAGTACTTTCTTCGGAGCGGTAAATACATTTGGCCTTCTTTTCATCTCTTTCATGTGTTTGTTTATGAATTTCATTGGGTATTGATTCCTATTGAACAGGTTACAAATATTATTCTAATAATCTACGGTAGTATCATCAGCGCAAGTCATTTTATCACGATGAGTCAAGATCTTTATAACGTTTCTTTTTCATAAAATTTATCTATATGCTTACAGAATTTCCTTTCACGGAGTTCTTAACAGTTACTTTTAATTCTTAATCCCAGCCTTCTTTTTGAGTTTCGCACCATAAGATATTTATTTATGTCTCCTGCATTCTGATTGGCCGAAAATCTTTTCAACTTTCCATATATTTATAGTCTTACAATCCTACAGGTGCAAGTGAAGCCGTTATTCGTCAAGCACATCGTGCAGGTTATGCAATGTTTGCGGCTGGATTAACTGTTGGTTTTTGTAATCTTATCTGTGGTATATGTGTCGGTATGGTTGGTTCTGGTGCAGCTTTAGCAGATGCTGCAAATTCTGCATTATTTGTTAAAATACTTGTGGTGGAGATTTTCGGTAGTGCCATTGGATTATTTGGAATAATTGTAGCTATTCTTCAAGTAAGAAATGTCATTTATTCTAATCAGTTTATGATCAAAAGTTATTCGATTTGTAAACAGTCTTTATTTGATGTTATTATAAATGTATGTAACCGATGTGTTTGTTTAAATTGTCTAAGAACTATTGAGTGTTAGGTTTCTAAACATTGAGTCCCAGATCTGATCCCAAATCTATCTGCTTGGATTCTTGCAACTGTGAATAGTTTTTATTAATTTCCACATCAAAGTAGTGTAATTCATTTTTTATCTCATCAGGTACAAATCATTGTACTTGGCTTCAAGGTATTCTCCAAATGTAAGGTCTAAATAAACGGAGTGGGGTTCGAACCTGTAACTTTGGTGGTTGGAGGTCTCAATCACGGAACCATTGCTCCACTCGAAGTTGAATAAATGACCTTGAATTTGGTTTATAAGTCACATTTGGCTAGTATAAGTAATTTAACTAAGTAAATGTCTTAGAGGAGATAAATTTTATTTAAGTTCAAATTGTTATTACAAATGATTTCAAAGCGATATTTATCATTGATTTCACTGTCACAACCTCTCAGAAAATAAAATTTAAGAAGATCTACATCACCATTATTTTTTTACAGACTTCCGTATTGTATTCTCTGATTCGTGTTATTTATCAGTGTGAGGAGTTTGTAAAGATGGTTGAGTTTGATGGATCATGTTAGGAACTGAATTAAGTTAGACATTCACTGAAAAACAAGAAACATTAGACAGCTGTTTTATCCTAATATGCAGCCGTTCAGTGGTGTCTATTCAAAGACCTAATGAGATCTATACTATAAGGTTACTCACTACAATATCAGACACTATCCATTTGATGATGGGATCTTATTTGACCAAGGTAAAACTGAGTTGTTTACATTGATTCATTTGATGTTCGAATGGACATTACACAAAGATTTTAGGTTATGTAAAGTTTTATTTTAACCGGATGACACTTTCCGACAATCATAACGCTACTTAAATTATAGGAGTTGAGTGACAACATGCCTTGTAATCCTAAAGATATATTGTGCGTCTGAGTGGTATATAGTCTTCTACTGTTTTAGTATTCCTTGGCCACGATACTTCGCTCGACTCTGCTCATATTAAAACAAAGATTGAAGGGGCACAAACAAATGTATATTATATATTCTAACAATCCGTAAAACAAAGATACAGTAATGAAGATATTAGAGTTTGTACAGAATTCGCGTAGGCATCTTCCATTCGTCCACCAACGCTGATCAATTAGAAAATAGCCAATTAGCTGTTTTCTCCCTAATTTTGACTTGATTAAACCATCCAGTAGTCAAGACTCTGTCCTGCTAACATTTGTCTTTTATAGTTATTTATCACTATATAATTCACACCAACACTTGTATATATATCATCCTGAAATTTGTATTCTTAATTTTCCTACTTTCAGATTTCTGGCAAGAAAATTTCTGATAAAGGTTAAAGAGTACTTAAAACTGGGGACGAAACAAGCACTTTGTTTAGTTTCACTTTAATACTTTCTATACCTTAGTTTTTTTTCATGATACACTTTCTCTCTCTCTCTCTACATGTGTTACCATTTCTTTTAAAATTTAAGTTTTACATATCATCTATGTTGGTAAACTCTCTTCCCTTTCTCTCCTTCTCTCTCTTTCCACCATTTTTCCTATTTCATTTATTCGAAAATGTCCATCTATTATTGGGTAATTGAAAAGAAAAAAAAAACTGATTCATTTCCAACTTAGTCAGTCAATAGTGTTTGTTATTTATGTTATATTTATGATCAAAAGATCAATTTGTATTTTGTTTTGTTTCTCTTATCATCATTTGATATAAATCGATTATAATTTAATGCATAATATTTGATATCATTATTATTATTATTCTGATTAACAATTAACCAAACGTGATAATGATGTGTTTTACTCGAATACACTTATTATGCTATTCACATTCCTTTCATTGTGTGTGTGTGTGTGCGTATATGTTGAATAAAGAAATATATATTCCTTAAGTAATTGTATTGTGTTTTACATCCCTACATCAAAAAATAAACTCTATAACTATAATCAAAGTTGTAATATCATGTATTCAATTAGTCAGTCCTAAGCAACATAGAACTTAGTACATATATGGATCAGTTTTAATTTATCACACCAATACATTAGCATGGTGAAAAAAAAATTATCAAGATGAATATCATAGTTCTAGTAGTAGTATCAATGGTAATTAAAAAGAACACTAGACGTAGAGAATGTGATTCGTGACCCTGGTGGTTTGCATCTTGCTTATACAGCACAGTCTGACAGTCACTTACTTCATAGATATCCTACGTTTTGGTTTGGGCGATCCTGGCTTCCAGCGTAATCTTATAGGACATCGCGTGTCGAAGCATGTAGGTGTCAGGTATACGTAACTTCTTTCTCAAATAAAATTGATGAATGTAATACTTCGTCAACTGATTTATCTTCTTTACATCTAGTCTCAGAATTCTTCACTCGATGATCTTAATGTACCCGAGGGATTTTTTGTTTACATCGATGATCTAATTCTAGTAACCTAACGAATGTCCTCTACTTTTAAGGATCATGTTTCATAACACAATTGGTCCTGCTGGTGATAATTTGATTTTTTCTAGTACTATGTTAAATTTCATGATGATGCTAATAATAATTAGTCAAGTAACATTAGTAAATCATTAACTCTTAGTTTAATTCAGGGATAATAAACTAGGGACTATGTTTCGAAAAATTTAGAATTAAACGTGTATGTTAAGTAGTCTAACAAGTACATTTAAAATCAGTACATTTTGCCATGAACCCAGCCACCTGGAGAGTTTGGTGGGTTTGGGATTCGGATTATATTGGAGACAGGTATTTAGGTACTGGATTTAATTCATTGTGAAAGATTGTTCAACAGCCGATTCATTACGAATCATAGCACAATGGTTCAAATTTCCCCACTAAAAGATATCATTAAGATATAAATGACGTAGAATCGGAAAAAATATAGGCATTCTACCAAGTTGCCACGTTACATCGACAGAAATGAAACTGTTAAGTTGAATACTATTTCAAATGGTAAATTGCTTAATCAATGTGTAATTACAATACTAACCGTTTATTTTATCCTGTAAATAGAAAAAACAAAACAAGCAATTTGTTATAGTTTCATTTCATTTCAACACCTTTTATTTAAACTGGAAGGGCATTTATTCTAAATTAGAAAACGTTCATCAATAAGTGTTTTTCTAGCTGTATTACGACGTCCAAGATCGTCACGTAATAAGGTGAATATCTGAAATAAACAGAAACGAACAATAATTATCTTTATTCAATGAAATAATTTACTATTATTTTCCAGAATAGATGGATTGTCGTCCGCACTCGAATCCAATTGAGATGCCCTTTCGTCCTGTTTGGGACTTGTCAGTTGAATATACTTACATTCTAGTACTGATGTTTAGATTGAGACTTAAACTAAGTACTATTCGCTTTAAACGCTGACCTGTTATCCACCAAACAACTGAATCTAAACAGCTAACAACAGGTGTGATGTCTATATCATGTCTTTACTAATTAAGTTCAGAATACGCCAAACATTTGCGATAATAAACTTATAATCGGTTTCTAAACTCATGCAATCTGTTTGACATATAATATGCGAAGAAAATCATGAAGCAGAAATGTATTAGGTTTGTTATCAGGATTATTTAGGTTACAGTAATAAATGAACATGTACAGGGTTACCGACAACCTTGTAGTTCTAAGATATGCTGGAAAAGATATTAATATTAGTAACAGTAGTTAAACTACTTGGGAAGAACACAGATGAATCGGCTATTAGATTCTTCATGGAATTTTCCACATACATAATGTAGACATTCTTTCAGTCTATAAAGGTCGTTACGAACAATTTTAAACATTTGCTAAGACTTAATTATTTATTCGACGTCAGATTATACCTTCACACCGATCGGGTTCACTTAACATAATTAAACTAATTTGCTCGGATTACGCTATCTGAGATATTACCATAACACTTAGGTCAATTGGACAGCGATAAAATAAACTAGTGAATTTAAAGTTCGAGGTGATTGTACTAATGGCGAGGTAGCAAGAGTAAATTCTCTGATGAAACTGTGTTTTTAGAACGAAAGATCTGGCTAGGAAAGATTGGAATAAAAAGACCAAGCCTCATTTTCCGTCATACCTTCCTGGTGTCACAGATAAACTTACAAAGGTGAGCTGAACTAATAAGTCACATGCTGTTGACATAAAGGTCTGATAAGATCATCGTCAACTAATCACCTCTGGTTGCCTTGTTATAATTTTGATATTATTATCTAACAAGGAAACACATTTCTAAGAGAGAAACTCATTTGTTAGTGTAGGGGCTCTGCTGTATATCAATGAGTTTGGGATATGGCTGTACGATAAAGTGAATTGTTTGTAGCTAAACATGTACACCATTGGGTGCCAGTTCAGTGATCTAAAGGATTAGCTCACGTTGAGACACCTGAAAGTTGTGAGTGTAATCCCTGATAGGATGGTAGATGAGCATTTTTGAGGAGTCCTTTGATAGAACCAAACAGTTGTCCAGTGCTTTGTAGTTTTCAATAGCTATCTAAAGCCTATCAGCAATATAAATTATAGAAAATATTCGTAGAGTTGATAATTCAAATAAACTTTTCCATTAGATAAAAAGTAAAAAAAACTTACACTTCCTATTAGAATGACAAAAAATGCTGATAATATTAAATTTTGACTTAATAAATCCACTAAACAGAATAGAAGTGCATCAAATGTGAATAACAACCATTCATTTCCATAATATAATGTATCACCAAATGAATTGCCGTCATCTGTAGATGCAAGAAAATTTGTGTGTTTATAAAAGAGATTTGATAAGAATTAATCTGCAGTTCTAAATATCAATGAAAAGATTCAAGTAAACAATACCAAGTGAATTTAAACTTGACCCGATTGTACAAGCAAGTGGTTATCAGGAATCAGTAGCTAAGTGGATAACGCGAATGGTAATGGGTTCGAGTCCCAGGGTGAACATCAAATCTGGGATGCAAGTACATCCAAATGGGACGAAATGCGCGTCCTGGATCCCACTGCTAGCCACTATCCACCTTTGATTATAATTGTACAAAGAGTTATTATTGACATTTTTGTATAATTAGTAATCTCTTAAATTGTTGTATTCTTATATTCTTCTATTTCTAAGCTTCCATATTCATACATCTTATCATTTTAGATTTATTTCTAATTGATTATACCCTTATTACTCTGATTTTGTATCACTTATGTCTAAGTTATGCATAAATTGTAATTCTTTGATTATATTACTGTGTAGGTAGACATTTCAAGTACATTGTTGTGTGAGTTTTGAGTTATTATTGACTTGAATACAATAGTGAAATGATCTATCCACTATTGTCGTTTTCTGATTAGTCACTAGGTTAGGTAGTCGAGGATTAATATGCATTAACGTCTTGGTTTTTCTTTATTGTTTGATATATCGATTGGTAAATAAGTTACCTGTGCTATTGGCAATATAAGTGAACTAACTGATAATTGGGCTAGAAAGAGAGATCATACGACTTCTTCCCTGTCATTACAAAGCAATTAGACGACTCCCAAGATAACTTGTATGTAGTTAGTTGGGTAGCAAATGTACAAATGTATTCCTTTAATTATGAAATATATAATGGATTATTTTATATGAAATATTGCTCCTTTTACTGGTTCCCAACCCATATTTTATCAACATGCATTGATGTTATCTAGATCTAGTTCTTGATTAAGTACTTGAACTCTAAATGTTTGCGTTCACTAAATTATAACTAATATTACAACATTTAAACAAAACTCTTACCAATATAAAATAATCCTTCAAATGTTGTATCATCGAATTCACCATCAAGAATATCTTCGAATGCTTTACGACGTACAATTCTGTAGCGTAAACCATCAGGATCATCCTTAATGCAAAAACATAACAACAACGGAGAAATGATACGGTGAATTTTTAAGATTGAAATTAAATTAGATATTATACTATGAATGTAATTTAGAAGAATACAGAATCAGTTAATTACTTGAACAAATAATTAATGGACAAATAGTTGTTCGTTATTTAACAACATACTAACTGTTAAGATCAGATATCGATTCAGTGTTAAGTTACACTAGAATATTCAACGCTCACTTACTAAATGAAAGGAAAAATATCCGAAAGTCTATTGTGTAATGTCTATTACTATGTCAAACCCACTATCTGGATAATCGAGTACTTGAAATTAATCCATCCCCCACAACCCATATTCGACTTGTCATTACCTTCGTCACAGAAACAGGATTAACCTAGATAATATACGGAGTTGAATGGCAGATTTGTGTTCATACCATTTTCATACTGGACCACAAAATTGGATAAACCGCACTCATTGAACATTAAAAGTTGCTGATAGCCTTAGTCAATAAGGATCCTGGATAATGTTATCTTTAAGACTTTGTTTGATTCGCCTCATATTTTAATGAATTATTTTGTCAGTCAGGCATCTAGTTTATCAGTTTATTCTAATCCTATTGGACTTGAATTCAATCGTTAATTGAAAGGACACATGAATTGCATAAAGACGGAACTGATGTGGCTTGAGACACTAACCGATATTACGTGTTAAATTCACTAGTCGCAATTTTAATTCTTATTATTCTCTATCTCGAGTTTAATAATCCTTTTATAGTCTAACATCCTAGACTTGATCAATTACACTGCTGATACACATAGTTATCCTTAAGCCGACTTAAATGCTCAATAGCTTCTATTAATCCTTTATCCGTAAGCCCTCCTTTATCTTCTACTTCAATTCTCACAATAGTTATCCGATTATACCATGACCAATATGTGTTTTGTACAGTCTACGCACTCTCACACAGTGCGTGCAAATTGTGTCATTACAATAAGTGTTATCCATGTTATGACTTGAAGAACATTCGATTTTTATTAATATGTTTATGGTCAAGTGAAATTCGATATCAAATCTACAACTATATACAACTTTTTCATCTACTTTCTGAGGATCAAAATGTTTACTTTATAAAGTTAAAAAAAAGATCACAAAAGATAATTATTCAGCTGTTTCGCTTAGTTAGTTTGATTGTCAAATTGCCTAAACCTAGCTGATATAACGGATGATATGAAATATTTTCTCTCTACCTCTCAAGTGTACTGCGATAATACGTTGTTAATACCATAATGAAACTATTCACGTTATAGCAGGTCCAGGATTCATGACCCAGAACAGAGAACCAGATTAGCATTAGATAACACTTTATTCAACACAATTACAATCAGCCATTCTCGGCAAGTCCGGAGTAGAAATCGATGGGAGCAAACGAAATCACATACTTAGTACTTAATAGATATTCTGTTCATTGATTTTAGTAGTTGAATCACATAAAATCTCTATATCCAGAAGTCAAGTTGTCCCATTATAATTTTGTCTTCGTCTAGCTTCGATTGACTCATGATTTCAACCAGTGAAATTTCTAAAATCTCCACAAAATCCCTCTCTGATTATAATCATCTCCTCACTAGTGACTGACTTCAAGAGACACTGCTGGAGTTCTAGTGAGAAGCCATGACCAGTGGAGTTCAACCAGGTGTGTTGTGAGATATCGGCCCACTGAAGACAATGGTGGACGGTGGCGCAAATCCGTGGATTGGTTGAAGCTAGACATTAACAATGTTGGATGCCGGCTCAGTGGTCTAATGGTTAAGCGCTCGCGTGCGAGAATGATAGGTCGTGGGTTCGAATTTCGCGAGGCGGGATGGTGAATGCACACAGTTGAGGAGTCCCATACTAGAACGAAACGACCGTCCAGTGCTTCCAGGATTTCCATGGTGGTCTAGCTTCGATTGACTCATGATTTCAACCAGTGAAATTTCTAAAATCTCCACAAAATCCCTTCTGAAAATATTAATAAACTCTTCTAAACTCTTGCCTTCTTATATAGGTTCTGTCGATGGGCATTATTGTTAAAGAGTTACAGGTGTTGGTTTTTAGCTTGTCGAGTTCACAATAAACTTCGCTCATACTAGAATAATCTACATCATTCATAAGTAACAACGATCGTAGACAGAACTATACCATATCAAATGATACAATACATCACAAGATGTTTCTTGGACATATGGAACTCAAAATAACTGTCAACCAATATCAAAGTCACAATCTTCAATACGAAAGTCAAGGCAGTTCTGCTGTACGGAACTGAAACTTGGAGAACTACTACAACCATCATCAAGAAGGTACAAGTAGCTGTCTACGCAAGATACTCAACATCCATTGCCGGATACCATCAGCAACAGCCTTCTATGGAAGAGAATAAACCAGCTTTTAGCTGAAGAAGAAATTAGGAAAAGACGATGGAAATGGATAGGACATACATTATTGAAATTGCCAAACTGCATCACGAGGCAAGCCCTAACTTGGAATCCTGAAGGGAAGCGGGAGAGGAAGTTCAAAGAACACATTACGTCGGGAAATAGAAGCAGATATGAAAAGGATGAATAGGAACTGGAAGGAGCTGGAAAGGATTGCCCAGGACAGGGTTGGCTGGAGAATGCTGGTGTGCGCCTATGCTCCTTCGCGAGGAGTAACAGGCGTAAGTAAGTTAGTAAGTAATTACAAGATGTTTCTTGAGTGGTGATAATATTACTTTCCACTTTTGATTGAGAGGGAAATAATCATGAACTTGAGGTTTGTTTACACTGTTTTATGGTAAATCAAGTAGAAATATTTACAATGTAAATGTAAGATTATAAACTTACTCTTGAAATGAATCTTTTCAAATATCGATTAATATTATGATAAACTTCATTTGTGATTGCCTGTGGTGAAGCATGTTTACCATATTTATCAGTATTTAAAGTTAAATTAAGTAATGGTGTATACAAACGATTAAATGTTTGACGTAATCCTGAAGGTAAAGCCATACGATAAGTATGATCATTTGAATCTGGTGTAATACCACGTTTTGGTGCTATACCTTCATTTTCAATAGATAACATTTGTGTAATACCGCCTAAATCAACATCAGAACGACCTGTCGGTGAATGTCCATGAATATAATAACCGAAATTAGATTGAGCAAATAAAAATACAGAAACATTTGCTACACTGCATAAATCAGCGAAACTACGTAATTTATCAGAGAAACATCTCTCCCATAAAGTGATTGAGAAAAGCCATTGAATGATACCTATAATGAATAATATTTAAAATAGATATGTATATATTTAGTAAGTTAAACTTATTTATATATGTTAATCACATTTCTTAACATTTTAATAATATATGTTGATTGTTAACATACTAGGTTTACAAAGAGTGGACAGCTTTTACAGCATACAACATAAATTGCCCAGTAATGACAATCATCAGTATAGGGGATTTGCGAAGATCATAAAGTTTTCGTAGTTTAAATTCTTAACTGATCTTAGCTGGACTACTATTGAAAGCTCGGAAGCCCTTTGAAGGCCGTTTCTTCCTATTATGAGGTTCTAGGTCGTGGATGCATACTGCTGAAAAGTCTCATGTTAGCAAAAAAAAGCGACCGTCTATTACTTCCAGGTTTTCAACTTCGGTTCAAGTACAATCAGTTTGTGAGTTAATAATTATCCAGTGAGCATTAATGGATGATTTTGACAAGAACGTTTTGAAAACCTAGAATGTGAAGTTGTGATTGGTGTGATTTTAACCATTTCAGACATAAGACATGTTTGGGACAATGTAACGTGTTAATTGGAAGTTGGGAATAGAAACTTTTAGGTGACAACTTAGTAGTTTGAAATTTAAGTGTTTACTGTGAAACGTAAAAAGTTCCAGTTTCGATCTCAGGTAAAGTTGTTCATAAACATTACTCCAAAGTACCATACATATTGCATGAAATAATCATCCAGCACTCTCTGATTTTTATTAATTACCTAGTTAAAGCTAATTTATGATGTTAGCTAGGTATATACACCTAATTATTCAAATAATTTTATGAATCGATTCAGATGAAATGAAGTTTAGGAATGACAAAATGGTATGCTCAATTCGACGAAAAGAAAAATCCAGTTTAAGATGTTCTGTATCAACCTTTATTTTTAACGAAAAAAATGTTATGTTTCCTTTATCCCATTAACGAAATACATGCTAACAGCATTACTGTCTTAGTTTACACACTTTTGGTAGACCGGGAAAATTTTCATCTATTCTCAAATCTTGAACTGTAAAACTAAGAAGAGAGATGAGTGCTCACACCTAAAGTTGATCGATCACTGAGTAGTGAATGATCAATATCATGTTTGTTTAACCCGTTGAGCTGATCGGATTACGTCTACCAAGTAAGGTACCACTGACTATCTTCAACCATCTAACACCTTAAAACAATACATTGCGTGTCAAACCGTTTAAACTAAAGGCTATTTTCTAACTTGATTATTAGAATTCCATCAGCACTGAGGACTAAACAAACATGATATCTGTCACTATCTAGTGATTAAACAGTTGTAAATATCTCGGTCCTACTAATCAGTTTCCGTTTGAGTAACTCGGGGGTAACGTCTCATACCATGAAACTAGGTGATGAGGGTTCGGATTCGATAGGAACAGTCACTCCCCTGAAGATTTCAAATGATCTTTGTTGATGAGCGTATCTACTGAAACGAAGCTCAGCTCAGGAAATTATTTAGTACAAAAATGGATAGCAAAGTTAATTAACTGCTATTTATAAACGACAAACGAAGGGATGTATGTAAACGATATGTCAGTAAGCTATTCAAAACCATTTACAAACAAACAGAGTTTTCGATATTTGTTACATTATAATCATTGAAACAGAATTAGCATTCAATTGAAGTAGAATGTACACTCTGCCATTTTAGTACATTTGAATAATGTTATATCCCGATAAGAATAATGAATGGTAATTTTTAGGATCCATTTATGAACCAAGACTATGAGTATATTTTTATCGTGTAATTGTTATGTAACTAAACTGTTCATATTCATGTTCCTCTTATTATAAGCTTTATTTTGACCGATGAACCATTATTACACGTTTTACCATTCTTGAATTATGCCCTGTCTACTAATCACTACTTCCCTCATTCACAGCCACTTTTGACCAAATATTGTACAAATGTTATTTTCTATTTTATGGAACGTTGTGGTCTGTCTGGTTGATATATAAACTCAGTATGTTTGAACTATAATGATTCATATTTCAGAGGCTGAGACTTGTGTTCTGGACTTAACTGGCTGAGACAGACCAAAAAGAGTAACTATCCAAAATTTAAATTTATCTTCGCTTCCACTTTTTTTCTATCATAATGAATATTAGTGTAAATTATCGATAAAGGTAGGTTGTATTCGTCATAGATTAATGTCAGTTCAAGTGTCACTAAGTTTAAACATATCAGGAATAAAACAGTCGTCAATAATGTTTTGAAAGATCATTAAGTTAAAACACAAATTGATTCGAGTTGGAATTGTATTGTATGATATTGGTCTAGTGGCTCTAATGGTGAGGTGTTCGCTGAGTGATATATCTAAAGGTCCTCAGTTTGATCTCTGATAAGGTTATTGGTATACACTGGTAAGGAGTTGGCTATGATAGCGAAACAGCTGTACAATATTCTTTGCTTTTCCTTGATGCCCTAACTGAGATCAATCTGTGATTTATGCAATCTATATGTCTTAGTGGGCCTTCATTTTGATGTCAATTAGATCGTATGATGTTTTCGACGCGTTCACCACTTTAGTGGCCCGAGATCTGACTCCAGTTGGATCGTATGATTGGATTATTGTTAAAATATACATCTTGGCTATCCTCGTATATTATTATCGACTTAATCCACATTAGTGACTAGCGGAATAAAATTAACCAAATACGAAAATGGGTTTTTGAATGCGTATAACTTGTACACTCGTTGATTTGGACAGACAATCAGAAGAATGAATCGAAGAGAAATAAGGCACAGTGGCGAAGTCAAATGAGCCAAATGCCTTTAATCAAGCGTTAATCAATATTTATAGTCACACAAAAATATGCTACAGATATGTGATGAATAGGATAAGAACTGCACACATATATATACTCACATAAAAACAGTCAAGGTTAATAAGTGAATAATTAACAAGGTCAAAATGTGACTCAAGAAGAAGGGATAAATTGGCCTGTCCAGAAGTTAGAATATGGTATCTGAGCTTAACATAGTAACCGACATTACAATGTAAACGATACGTAAACTACCATGGTAGGGTGATAAGAATGACATTCTATCTCCAGTTTAAATGAACTATATCATTATATTGATAATAAAGAATTTTAATAGAGTTAATCAAAATTACAACAAACAAACTGACCTATTACTGAAAAAATGGAAAGTATTAAAGCAATTCGAAATATACGACTTTGTGGACTTTGATATTCATAAGAATTAAGTACAACATTGGACTTAGCATCTGATGATGCTAAATTTTCTAATCCAATAACCTAAAATATACGGAAATAATTGAAATTTTTCCAAAATGTTAAGTTTAAATGTGAAAGCTTAAAAAATAAACAATTAACATTTATTTAATAGTTGAATTCATGAGACAATTGAAGCTAAACCACCATAGTAAACCTGGAAGCACTGGACGGCCATTTCGTTCTAATATAGGACTCCTCAACAGTGCGCGTCCACAATCCAGGACCTATCGGTCTCGCTCGCGAACACTTAGCCTCCAGACCGCTGAACCGGCATTCAACAGTGTCTAACGATGCCTAACTTCAATCAATCCACGCAATTGCGCTACCGTCCACCATTGTCTCCAGTGAGTTACTATCTCACAACAGACCTGGTTGAACTCCACTGGTCACGGCTTCTCAATAGAACTCCAGGATATACCTCTTGGAGACCATCACTAGTGAGCATATGATGATTATAGTCAGAGAGGGGTTTTGTGGATGTTATAGTAATTTAATAGTTGAATTCATGAATCAGTTGAAGCTAGACTACCATGGAAAACCTGGAAGCACTGGATGGCCGTTTCGTCCTGGTATGGGACACCTCAACAGTGCGCATTATAAAATAATATTTATTTTATATATTATCTTCCAATTATATCACAAAAACTGAGATTACAAAGATTTCTAATTTTACAGAATTTATGGTACATTAATCATATTCGCTTTAAAATCTATATAGTAAATTTATTGCATCTACTTGTAGATATTTGTTGAAATATAAGTTTAGCCTTGTGAAGATAATTGAATTTTATTGATATCCCTAACTGATCTAATTTACACAACTATTGAAAATCGGAAATCATTGGACAGTCATTTCTTCTTGGTATGTGACTCCACAGTAGTGTACATCTATGACTTCGAAACTGGGGATCAAACTCATGACCATCAGTGTCGCGCATGAACTCTTGACTTTTAAACCATTGAACTGAGAAATAATGATAAATAATTTTAATTTCAATCAATCTACGATATTGCGCGATCATCTATTGTCTTCGTGGGCAACTTCCTCATAACGGACATTGTTAAATTCGACGGTAGTTTATTCTCATCAAGGATAGTTAAATAGACGAAAGGTCTAAAATATTTGTACATCACGTATATTAAATTGTATGACTTAGTCGATCCTCTTTATATAAATGACAATAAACGGAAACTGTTTGTTAACAAGAGATTTTAGTAATTTGGGGTCCATAATTTAATATATCACAGTAATATTTAGTTTTTCATTATTTAGATTTACTCTAATCTTGATGTATCTTGTCTATATTCAGTTGGCTAACATGACATTGTAGTCTTTCTATTAAGCATAATTGAATCTCATTACTTTTATTTGTTGCATCCGTTTCATAATGTTTAAGTGACTGATGCAACAAAATATTAGATAAATATAGAAACTTACTGAAGAGAAATTAATACAGTCCCTTCCTGGCTTTCAGTCTTTATAGAATAATTCTGAGTCCTTCATTACTGTTCCATACTTATGGTACTTTGTGTTCATTTTTCCTATTTGATTATCTAATATGTAGTTCTTGTACAGATAATGTTCATTTATATTTTAGAAATAGATAGATTTTTGGAAAAATGAGTTTTATCCCTTAGTGAACTACGGCTGCTTGATAGTTTCCGAGGACTTACTCTAAAATTATACCTGTAGGTAAAAATACAGTCTATACATAGATTAAAACATAGCATCAATTCGTGAAACCATCTGCCACTGGACTGATCTGTGTGGAGTGGTGGGAGCATGTAATCTATGAAACACAGATCTAATGTGGAATAGTCGCAGTGTCACAAATACATTAATACTGTAACTTTAAGTAGTTGATCATGCTCACATCTCTTTTACACGTCTGTCTATCATTATCTAATTGTAATGATGAGCTATAACCATAGATCATGGTTTTTTTCTCGGTCATTTTTGGTGAGTTTCATGAAAAGTGTAAAGTTTTCTACGGCGAAAATACCACTCCATTGCGATACAGATATGTCAAGTATAGTACAGTCAGTTATGATGGAAGAAAAATTACAAAATACCAAGTGTCGTACCACCAATCAATTCTACAGTAGAAATTATTTCAAAATATCTACAATGGAGTGACTAAATAAACTAAAACGTAACAGTAATCATTGACTACGATACGATTAGAATATTTGAAAACGTGGAGTTTACCCCAGCCAATTCAAATTATTTATTAAGGAATGTATCAAATGATCACTTCATTCGTAGCGCTTCATTTACCTGCATTAAAATAAGCACACATGCAATGGTAATTAAACAACTAGTTTTACGATATGTTTGTATTTCATTCCATTCGTTCGCTACATAAATTATTCGCCATACTGATATACCGGTATCTTCCATTTGATTGGATATTGATGATGGTGGTAAAGATGATCGTAATTCTTTTTTAGGACGTGCCTCTAAATTATCTGTAACATCTTCAATTTGTAATATTTTATCCAGAGTTGTAAATATAGAATAAAGAAACAAGGTGAGAAGCAATAAACAATTTATATATTGTACAATTGAACAGCGAATATATTATTAATTAGATTGTAGTTTATATCAGAAGGGTTTTTGTGGATATTATAGTAATTTCAATAGTTGAGATCATGAGTCAATGGGAGCTAGACCACCATGGGAAAACTAGAAACACTGGACGGCCGTTTCGTCCTATTGTGGGACTTCTCAGCAGTGCGCATCCACAATCTCGCGTCGCGAGACTTTTCTCGCGCGCGAACGCTTAACCACTGCACAATTAAGCTGGCCGGTATCTAACGGCGTTAGTGTCTAGTTCATTAAAAATAAAAAGCATATTTAAATCTATTTCGACTAGAAATTAGCTGAATTATATCAGTATCCATATAAATGTTTTGCTAAGACTTAAATCTAGATTCCGGTATTTGAAATGCCAGAGAGTTAGAACAGTCATCTTTTCTGTGTTATACACATGATGGATTGTTAATTACATTTACTCAAACAAAATGGTTATTCTTTTTTTGACATATAGAATTGATTTTTTTTCAAAAAAATGTCAGCATTCATTTAAGGGCATGACAATAAAGTGATTAGCCTAGTATTTAGCCAGTAATTATCATCTACATAACATTAATATGTTATCTAGTGAACCTGTGGTATGAGCTACTTATATCCACATAAGTAGTATATAACGATGGTTAAGAATAAAATGTATTTCAGTAGAAGATCGAGAAGGAAAGAACGAGAACGGAAAGCAATTGGTATGAAAAACAATGATCAATGAAATCTGAGTCAATGGACTGATATTTGCAAAAGGAACAGTGAAGTTTGAGACGATTGATTGATATTTTGCGAATTAAGTATTTACTGTATGGTTCACAGACTTTCGTAAGATGTTCTGTAAGTTTATATTCCAATACATTCGGTTATCCCACTGGTGTTCTTATACACTACAAAGCAAGTAATGAAATATTTTTTAAAGGCAGGTAACACATATTTCAAAACAGTCATTTAATTCATTTTTTTAAATGTGCCAAAACATTAAAATATTTTATAAGAGGTTAAATTGGAAATGTCTACTTCCTCTGACTATTAGTTTCGTGTTATCAGTGATATGGTAGTAAAAACAAAGCAACCTATAATGATAATAACCATAATTTATTCTTCTTGTATGATGATATGTATTTGTGAAACAATGACATATCTAGTTTATGACAACAAAGAATTATTCATTTAACATGAAATACCGCTTTTAATATTCATTTGTATCTAAAACATAGTTACAATGATAAGATAGTTGACTGGTCTAACAATAGGATTATTCAGACCATGTAACAGTATGAATTGGAGTATTTGATGTAGGAAAACATTTATCGACCACCTCATTAGCCAATAGCACAAAATGTTGATATTTAATTTATTTTGTATTGTTTACTTGAATCTTCCCATTAATGTTTAGGATTGCAATTAGTCAGTCTCTTATTGGCATATGTACATCAAGTGAGGATTGCCTTGATAATGCATTAGATCGAAAGTATTATAAGCAAAGATAGATGGTAACTAGCAGTAGACAGTGCGATGATATTTGAAGCCTACAATACTGGGTTCGAATCTCAGGGTAAACATCAATTTTGAAATGCAGATACATCCAGCTAATAGATACTCTGACAGCCAACAGCTCTCAGTTTGATGTTATTTCTGTGGAGTAAAATATTTTCTGAATTTCAAATCAAGTGGTTGAAAAAACATGAAAATTGATTGTTTATCAGTTCCATAGAAAGTTGCTATAGTGTTTGTGTTGCATAACCATGTGACACATTGGCGCAAGATTGTCCTAACGTTCGATTGAGAACCAGATATAAAGCATAAAATGGTTATGGATTGGAAGAATTCAGATGGTAGTTGTACATAAAGTGAAGTAAAGTGTATGGTCAACCTTGAACTCCTTTTTGGTTGACGAGTTAACATGGTTTGGTTATGAAATGATTTATGAGAATAATTTAGAACACTTATAACTAATAGATAGTTTCAATATGAATACCAAACTCATGTACATGTACACGTTAGCTGTAATGTACGAACTAATATCTCTCCAATACTTGCAAGTATGTATTACAGTAAAATGTGTTATACCAAACAGCATGTCTACACTAATTAGCTAATTTATGGTAGCGATATCAAATGTGTATCAATTCAATATAACTGAAGAAATCAGAAGGGGTTTGTGGAGATTTTTAGAAATTTTCACAGATTGAAATCATGAGTCAGTTGAAGCTAGACCACCATTGAAAACCTGGAAGCACTGGACGGCCGTTTCGTCCTAGCACGGGACTCCTCAGCAGTGCGCGTCCACGATCCCGCACCACGCGGGGTCCGAACCCAGGACCTACTGGCTTCGCGCGCCAGCACTTAACCATTAGACCACTGAGCCGGCATCCAACGGTGTTAATGTCTAACTTCAACCAATCCACGAAGTTGCGCCACCATATACCATTGTCTTCAGTGAGCTGATATCTCACAACAGACCTGGTTGTACTCCACTGGTAACGGCTTCCCACTAGAACTCCAGGAGTATCTCTTGAAGTCAGTCACTAATGAGCAGATGATTCTAATCAGAAGGGGTTTGTGGAGATTTTTAGAAATTTTCACAGATTGAAATCATGAAGAAACTTGTCAATGTATTGTAGGAAATTTTATACATGTTATCTTATTGTTAGAACTAAATATCAGATGAATGAATACTTACCGTTAATCATATTATATTTTCCTAATGATTGACTTCTTGAACTTAATTGTATATCTGTGTTGGATGATGGATTAACATTATTTACATTACGATTGAATTTAGGCGGTTCCCAATCAATTAAAAACATATCGATTGTACATTGAACAGCTATTAAGTGTATCAAGTCAATACATTTCAATGCAAATGCAATTGCAATATAAATTACTATAAATTCATCAGAATTTGGTAGATTGATTAAGTAGACACTTTGTACCTAAAAGTAAGTAGATATTCATTATTATTATTATTATTTTTGTACAGGTTTATACGAAGTGATTGTTATCAGAAAGAGAGTCGATCACAATAATGCACGGCAGTTCGTTCTGTTTTACTTTACGGCAGCGAAACATGGCCATTAAGAGTAGAAGATACTCGTAAGCTACTAGTATTTGGCCACAGATGTCTTAGAAATATTGCTGGCGTCTGCTGGGATCACCGGGTAAGTAATAATGAGGTTAGATGCAGGGTATTAGGAAATGATGGTAAATCAGTTGATTAGGTTGTGAATCTTCATCGACTGAGATGGTTGGGTCACGTGTTACGTATGCCCAAATGCTAGCCGGCGTTCGGGATGGCTGGAAGAAAGTTAGGGGCGGCCAAACCAAAACGTGGCATCAGTGCTTGAAGTCACTAACTTCTGGTCTGAGCCATGTTGGGAGATGCAGACTACTTGGTTGGGGTCCGCGTGACTATCGTAACCAATGGTTGGAGACTCCTGGTGATATGTCTCAGAATCGATCACAATGGCGTCGGTGTATACACTATTTATCTTCCCTTAAACTATGAGATTAAAATCGCTTCATATCTTTCTTTCCACGAACTAATTCTTTCCTCCTGTACTATATCCTTATATGCAATCTTTCTTTTATATATTACCACTACTGAATTAACTACTTTTATGAATCCAGTGTTGTTCTTGTTGTTCTCATGAGTTATGGCAACTTGGACCGATGCATATATGTACCTGATCCTACGTTGTAGCTGACTGACTGGCTGATTGACCTGGTTTGTTAATTTAGTGTAATTCCACCTTATTTACTTAAACGGTATTATATAAAAATCTGCAAGCTATATTCAAAATTGACCGACTTCATCAAATATGTTTCAGTAATATACATATCAACCATTTGTCATAAGTAATAGAAAAGAAACTTATGTTTAATACAATATCAAGTTGTACTGTCATATACTACTAACTTACCTTATAAAATATTAAAAAGTAAATTGAAACAAAATAGATGACAATTAAAAATGCATTAGATATATTTCCTGCTGCAAATAAAATCAATTTAATCACTAACATAGCATCTAAACGTAGTACACCAGCACGACGTGACCATATCCATGTACGTATCATTGCATAACATGCAGCCAATGTTGACATACAACCCATAGCAATACGTAAAGCTTGATCGAATGCAGCTTGTTTTGCAATTGAACTACTATAAGTAACTGAAAATGTAATCTGTTTTGTAGTAAAAACAAAACAAACAAACAACAATAATATCTAGTGAAGAAACTAGTCAGTAAGAAATAGGATACAAGATTTGTAAAATTGAAAAGGACACTTTTGACTATCATTTTAATAATTTAAAACAAGTCTAATAATAGTAAATGTAATAAATAGGATATGTGACTTATAAAGATTGTTGTAATAGGATAGAAGAGTCTAGGCATATCACATGATTCTGACTACATTTTATCTCAGTGTCAAACGGTGTGTGAGAAAGAATAATTTTGACATATCACTGTGAGAAGTTAATCGTGGAACCTAGTCAAGATCTCAGAAGGAAATACTTGAGTGTGCATATATATATACGTGTCTATTTTTATCGAGTGACTGGACTATTGTTAAAACATTGAGTGAAAAAATTAAACAGGAGAACTAAATCACTTTGTTGAGAAGGTCCTAAAAAGCGTCATGTTGCGCTCTCATTAAATGGTGGTTGATATCTTCACTGAAAAGTATTATTAAGTGTAGTATCCACTTACTGAACCCATGACTACATATAATAACCGTAACACTCCATACTTAGATCACCCTCAGTGGTCTTTGCAGAACAGACAAGATGACTGATTGTGCTGCAGCTCGAACATCTGACGCATTCACTAGAACCGTATTCGACGCTTGACGGTTGGGACAAATAACACCCAGCACAAGTCTCAACATTGTCATCGTCAGACTCTTCAGTAGGCTCAAGGATTTCATTATCCACTTCCATATCCACGTTTGATTCAACTCTCGCAAGTATTCCTGTGTCAAAAGAAGACTAATAACCTGTTAATTAGTTCGGAAGTTTCTCCACCCAGTAATCCAAATGCTATTGGCATTTAATACCACTATCCCGTATAGAGACGAGTTACACTTTTTGGGTCTACTGTCGGAAAAAAGTAGCATTTCAGATAACCGTTCACTTTGCAGCGTCTCAGTTGCACCTCCAGGCTCAGTGATATGTGCAGCTAACGTCTCAAAATCACCTAAGTAATGATGCTAATCAATGTTAGACTGATATAAATAAACAAACTTCGTTGCAAATAGAAAAAAATCTTGGGCGATTATTTTCTTTCCGTAGATCTCATACACAAAATTACTGACAACAAAAACTGTCGCTTCAGACATAAATAGATGACGAATCGTATTCTTCTGCTCGGCTGTCACAAGATGAAAGCTAGGAACTTTCTCATAAATGATACGCAGTAATTTGTGTTTGACTTACTAACCATCTTGAAACTACATAAAACCCTACCATCAGCCGAAAACGTATGTAGAACACATGATTGCTGTCAATAGATTTTTTAGAACAATTGATAAAAAAAATTACTGCGAACTTTAGTCGTTGGTCGTTGAAGGTGAAACCCCCGGCATTTTATTGTCCGGCCAAAATAACGTTTTTTATTTATGAGAAAAGAGTACAGGTGAACGATGGGTGGTAGGGCGTTGTAAACTAAATTTTATACTCTTAAAAATCATTCCCGTCTAAAATATGTTACCCGTGCAGAAAGGTTGAAAGTCATAATGTTCATTAAAACGCAAATTCCGATGATAAATCGGCCATTAGTGCTCATAAGACAAAATGTAATGCACCGGTGACTATATTCCGACCTATTGGTAAAATGATAAGGAGACTAATGTCTGATCATTATTTTTATTGAGTATATTCATTAAACTTCTATTCTTGCATATATTTTACATTTACATTGTTTCTAGTTAGGTTGATTAATTTAAATAACATCTGTTCAAATTATTTGGTCATAAAACAATGAGATACATATATGATGACAGATCTACCAGAGTAATTTTTCCGTTTATTGTTCTGTGCTGTTTTCTCTTGTTCTTTCTGGTTGTAGATAACTAAAGGTACCCAACAACCGTACTGGAATTACTGTTCAATGCGTTATTCATCCTTCTACATGGGGTCCCAGTCTTCCAACTAAAAAATACTGGTTTTAAACTGCTGCTTCACATTAGTTAAATTCTTGTGGAAATGACCTTTAACAACAAGTTATGAATCATTTTAAACAATGTACCGTTATATCTCTATCCGTTACACAAGAAATTCCTTTCTGTAGCAACTTGATTATCCTTACAAATCGGTATAGATTCAGTAAATATTTTTAGAGAACAATCAAAACCTTTGAAGCATTGCACAGCCATTTCTTCGTAATACGGAACTCCTTAGCAGTATGCATCTCTGACCAATCTATCGGGAATCGAAGTCAGGACATTCGATCCTCAGCCCGAACGCTTAACTTGTAGTCTAATGGACATAGACACAATGACATGCAAACCGAACTTCAGTCAGACTACAATATTACGTGACTACATTCCTTTGTTTTTTTTGGGGGATAGTTTCCTCACATCCGTTAATGTTATACTCCATTGATTATGGTTTCTCATTAAAACTCTCAAAATTTCCTATTGAATGTAATCACTAGTGAGCAGATGATGATAAACAGTATGGGAGTTGAGGAGATTATTGAATTTTATTAAGATAATATAATTTCTTTATTTAATATTGTCCATGTATGATTAAATTCACTTGGTGTTGTGTGACTTGTATCTTCATATTGTTATTTAGGACTGCAATGGACCAGTCTCATGTTGGCATATGTGCATCTTGAGCGAATTACCTCGATATAGCCTTAAATCATAAGCTTTTTAAGCAAAGATGGATAGTGACTAGCAATGGAATCCATGGCGTTCAGATGGCGTTTGAAGTGAACCGTATGGGGTTTGAGTCTCTGAGTGAACATCAACTCTGAGATGCAGGTACCTTCAGTTCCAAATAGGACGAAACGTTCGTCCTGGATTCCACTGCTAGCCACTATCCATTTTTGTATATATGATTAGTTTTCATTTTAATCAACAAATATTAAAACTTACTTGGACTTGTTTCCCTTTGCCATAGTCATTTGTAGCATACAAATTTGAATAGTCAATTTTAATAATTGGTGGATATATTTGTCCATCAGTAACAGAATCTTGTGATGTCACTTTGATTTCAATATTTGATGCATAACGAACTAATTGAGGCACTGAAATTGTGTAAAATTTATATTGAATATATTTTATTGATCAGACAGAAATAATAATTAAGTAATTATAATATAATAAAATCTGACTTGATTGTAAAGAGAGTAGTCAACTGAAGGGGAAGTGCCTAAAGTTTTCTTTTAATTATTCAATCACTGACTATATAGGATTAATTGAAGTTAGACATTAACACCATTGAATTCCGGTTGAGCGGTCCAGTGGTTACGCGCTCGTGCGTGAGACTGATTGGTCCTGGATTCGAATCTCACGAGGCGGGATCATGGATTCGCAATGTTAAGGAGTCTCATAATACAACGAAACGGCCATCTAGTGCTTCCAGGTTTTCATTGATGGTTTAGCTTTATTCGACTCATGAATTCGACCATTCAGGTTTTGGTGAATATTGAATAAACATTGATTCAAGTTATCGATGACATAAAATTGTTGTTAATATTCTTATGATAATATTTTAAAAAGTTATCTTCATTATTTATATCTTTAGTGTTATCTGTTATGTCTAAGACTATTATTGTATGCAGAATGTTTAAATAACAACTTATCCTCAGTAATGAAAACTCAAAATCGAACCAAACGAGTTATGTGTACACAAAGAATGTTGAATTCACTTGGTGTTGTTTTACTTGTATCATCCCATTGTTATTTAGGACTGCAATTGATCAGTCTCATGTTGGCATATGTGCATCTTGTGCGGATCGCCTCGATATAACCTTAATAAGATAGCCACCCCACTGTGCAATGGGGACTCAGGAGCTAAGTGGATAACGCGATGGCGTTTGAGGCGAACGGTATTGGGTTCGAGTCCTGGAATGAACATCAACTCTGGGATGCAGGTACATTCAATTTGATGAGTCCCAAATAGGACGCAACGCGTGTCCTGGATTTCACTGCTAGCCACTTTCCATCTTTTCTTAACAAAGAATATTTGTATGAATCTATTTGTTACCTAAAATAAATCGAAATGATCTATGAATACACTATCTTTTAATATGATCTATTTGTATAGTCAGGTTAACAATCAAATTTGCATAATTTAACTGTGTATTATTTAATATCCAATTAATTAGTAATTCAATATGTGAATATGTATTTGCAATATTGAATTGATCGATTTTCTTAGTGACTAAATTTTACGATGAGACTATGATTTATGGACGACCTTTGAGTAACACTAAGATAACCTTGACAACGTCCATGTACTAACTAGGACTGAATGAGGATTATAAATCAGTGTGAAAAATTAGAATTATAATTTACAATTGATGGTTAGAGTGAAGAATTGAATTTAGGATTTTCATCGCGAACTGACATTAGTTATAATGTGGAAACAGTATTTAGCCAAATGATTGTATGAATTTTGCGCTAAAATCTGAGACCTGTTATCTTAGATATGATTGGTCCGTCCATGAATTATAGTCTTGTCAATTTTGCTTCTTTTTCGATTCCATTATATTAGCATCACTGTATAAACTCGTTTACTCGCTGATGTAAGATTTCCTTCTAATTAAATCTTATTCCAAAGAAAAACATATGGAACTGAAAACAACTATCGACTGATATCAAAGTCAGAATCTTCAATACGAACGTCAAGACAGTTCTACTGTATGGAGCTGAATTCTGGAGAACTACTACAACCATCATCAAGAAGATACAAGTATTTATAAATAATTGCCTACGCAAGATACTTAATATCCATTGCCGGATACCATCAGCAATAGCCTTCTGTGGGAGAAGATAAACCAGTTTCCAGCTGGAGAGGAATTTAGGAAAAGACGATAGAAATGGATAGGACATACATTACGCGAATCACCAAACTGCATCACGACGCAAGCCTTAACTTGGAAGCCTGAAGGGAAGCGGAAAAGAGGAAGGCCAAAGAACACATTACGTCGGGAAATAGAAGCAGATTTGAAAAGGATAAATAGCAACTGGAAAGGATTGCCCAGGACAGGATTGAATAGAGAGTGCTTTTGGGCGGCCTATGCTCCTTGACGAGGAGTAACAGGCGTAAGTAAGTAAATAAGTAAGTATATTTTAAATGGTATAGAGAAACATATCAGACAGAAGCATTTGTGTAGCATTTAAACAAAAAGGTTATTTAAGTAAGAAAATTTATAACAATTCTCACCTTTTGATATTGTAGACGTTTTACCTGAAAAATTATCAACCATAAATAAACGTCGAGTTAATTCCCATTTATCTTGTATAGCAGCTTTAATGGATACAGCAGATGCTGTATTACCTAATGCTAATGCTTCATTCAAACTATTTTGATCTGAACTAGTTATTACATTTGGGAAATTTCCACTTTTATCAATAACAGCTGTATTACGTATTGGGATTGGAATAAGTTGACTAGTTTGTGTTGTAGTATCATAATAATAAATATCTGTAGATATAATCATTTGTTATAATTATTGTTATTATCTGTTAAGGCATTAATAGAAGATACAGGTGTTTATTAACAGTTGTCTACGCAAAATACTTCGGATCCGTTGGCCGTAAACTATTAGCAACAACCAACTGTGGGAAAGAACAAACCAGATCCCAACGGAGGAAGAAATCAGGAAGAAGATCTGGAAGTGGATAGAACACACATTGAGGAAAGCACCCAACTGCGTCACAAGACAAGCCCTCACGTGGAATCCTCAAGGCCAAAGGAAAAGAGGAAGACCAAAGAACACATTACGCCGAGAAATGAAGACAGGTATAAGAAGAATGAACAAGAATTGGATGGAACTAGAAAAGAAGGCTCAGGACAGAGTGGGTTGGAGAATATATATACCTACGATTTGTGCAAGTTGTAATTTAGTTTGGCGACTAAACTCATTTAACTTTACTCATTTGTATAGTGGATTGTTAACTATAAGTATGTGTAGATCATTACTGTATTGAACAAACAAAAAGGATACATGGGTCATAGAAAACTAATGGATATTTCTCATTATCAAATAAATCGTCCACGTTTAATTCACACTAAAACAAAAAAAGAATCACAAAAGAATTAGTGATAAGTTAAATAGATCTTTTCAATGAATAATAATTAATTATTATTGTGTGATCAGATCAAGTGACAGATCCTGTACATGACATTTTAGTAGATAAAGCATTGCGGTTTTCAAACTGTTATAAATTTTAACCGCTTATTAACGTACAGAGACTTATCGATCGGACCAATGACGTGTAAACCCGTATGAGCAGTCTAGAGTCCTTATTGATCCCTCTTCCTGTCTAGTCCAGCCAGTTAGGTCCAGAACATCATTC